CTCCCGATGTAAGGGCGCAACTACATTTAAACGTGAACCTTGAAATACATAAGGGCATATGGAAACGAAGGCTCATACTCAAATCGAGTTACGCCGTTACGTGGAAGGATCGATGACTTCTGCGTTTCAGACCCCGTTTCGAAGTCGTTAAACGTGAGATCTTCGTGCAACATATCCTTTATGCTCGCCCCCTTTTTGCTAGAATCCTGGAAGTTTTGCACGGATTCGGTTTCTTGCGTTTTGCAACTCATAATGCATTTTGGTAACGTGAATGACATCCTTAAAAATGGTGCAGAGACCGAAAATGAGGGGCTTGGAGGACAAGGCGCGTTAGTGCAGTTTTTGAAAAATTTGAGATATTGATGATTTCAAGTAAAACTAGTCTTAATGCATAATCTGTGAAAAATTTGCTCCCAAATTCTAATTTTTAAGCATCAACAAATCAGTGTGAACTTTCTCTCCGCCATAAGGATCCATGTAATTTCAAAACTTTAAACACGTATTTCTTGAAATAGCAAAAACTGCACATATGCGCCTTGTCCTCCATGCCCCCTAAATGACCTACAAGGCAGGGAAAAGTATTAGTTTTGGAGTGAAAATTGGAGTGAAATTCACTCCGGTGTACTCTCCCTTAGAAAATATGTGTGACGTAAATAAGAAGTTTATTTCACAAAAAGGGTAGATTTTTCTCTGAACTCGTATCACTCGCGGGGTTTTTTGGGGGAAGGAGAGAGGGGGAGAGGAGAGGGGAAGGGAGGAAAGAAAACAGGTTTTGAAGTGAAATGCTTTCTGGATTTTACTCCAAGATTTTAAACAGTGAACGAAATCAAGAGCTACAGTACGTGATTCTTTATCGAATTTTGGTGTGAAATACGGTAAAGCATATTTCGTAACATTACGGCTACAAAAGCTGTTCTCGTATGAGAAACCATGTGATATTCACACTTTAGGTAACATGACTTGTATACGTGCCGAAATGTGCAAAGTATCATTCAAAACATTCCTCTCTCAAAGGCGCCTCTTGCGGCATGTGATTAGTTTCCTTCGTAATAGTGGTTATGCAATTTGAGCTACATATGAGTTAAAATAGTTGTATCACGTATTTTGCTCTGAATGCACGGGTTCTACTGAGAGAGAAATAACGTATTCTTATTCGGGCTTACTGGGAGACGAGTTTTAGCGGGCTATAACATAATTAAAGGAGGATTTCTCCAATATTTTAGCGAGATCCGATTGTCTTATTAGACTTAGCAAAGCAGTTCCCTCCTTCGTTGCAGTTAGGTTTTCTCCAGTTTTAGTGTTCGCCTGAGAGTTAGCGGCGTGTTACTTCTGGAACACCCTGTGCCTTTCCCAAACAAGTAATGAATGGCACGCTCCGCAGACGATCGGTAATCTGGGTTTTATGACGATTACAGGTTCTTTACTGCCGTGTCAACACATTAGTCGCTAATGACTGTGCCTCTTTTTCACACGCCCATAAAACGTTTAAGGACACGGAAACCTCTGACGTAATAAACTTTTTTGGGTCTCTCTGAATCCTCGCTGCTGACTTATAGAATGATAATCATTTTAGAATAAGATTGTTTTTAAAATGACCGATACATGAGGGAGAAAAATGTCCTCCGCCATCTTGCGGTCGCTAAATTACTTAGTGCTGAAATTTGAAAGGAGAGAGATAGAGCAACAAAATTAATTTTTTGAACTATATATAGCTCGGTTTTTTTATTAAAATTTACAACGTTTTGATTTGTAACAAATGTATTTACCATATAAAGATTTTAAAGCTGTTTTGGAATGTTGGTATTCAACATCGTTAGAGCTTCAGTTCAGATTCCATTATTGAGAATGCATGACGAGAGACTAATATGATTGAACACGTCGTAAATTGACATGCTCACATCAGCAGATTATTAAGACGAGCAAAAGAACAATGAAATCAGTTGATGCTGATAAAATACTATCTTTCACAGTTAACTTCTTAAGTTTTATTAAACAACATACAGATTTTAGCATTATGCACAGCTTTGCTTTCTTAGTATGTATAATATTTGCTTTCTATGATACATAAAGCAATACAGCTTTCAAGAACCAAATTGCAGTCACTCCAAATTATAAGGAGACACACAGTGTACAGCAATACAGGTTTCAGTGAAAAACAGAAAAGCTATACGGTCATCAGTATTCCTGACGGAAAAGGAAAGATTTATTGCACTTTTCAAGGGAATTTTATGGGGGATCAGCCTCAGAAATGGAGTTCTGGTCTGTAAACAAGAATTTTTTTTAATAGAAAGTAAAAGGCCTGTTGGTAGTAGACCACCAGAACAATGGCTGATTTACATTAACTTGCGGGTCACTGAATACCTACCTCTTCCGCGCAGAGTCGCCGCGTTGCAAGAAAATAGCGCTTTACTTTCTAGTCATCTTGTGCAAAGGGACGATATCCCCCCTCTCATAATCATAAATCATATCGTTTCACTAAAGATTAATCTCTTCTAGGGTTAAAGATAACATAAAAAGTATGGCCTGTTGTTGTCTTTAATATTAATGTCCTAGAGAGTAAGGTTTCTTTTTAAATAAAATGAACACAAAATTTTCATTTGATTTATGGAATCATATTAAGTACATGTTTTAGGTGATAATTTAGAATTTCAAAATGTTCCATGACTTATATAATTACAATTTGTGGTTATAACTAAATAGGTAATAAATTTGGCAACGCAACGGTACTCTTCCGGCTATGGGATGTATTGCCGTGTTAGACGCCTTATTGTTCCTCATCGTGCAAGACACGATTCCAACGCTAAGGATCACTTGTTCCACATATTTTCGACGCAACATTCACTCATCGGTGCACTTGCAGAGCCTCGCAGGAAATATATTGAAAATCTAATATTTTCTTTTGAGTAGAAACGGATGAATAGTTGCAACTACCATTTCAGATTATGTCTAAAGAGACACTGAAAATGTTTGAAATATAGAAATGACTTGCGGAGTTCCCCAGAATTAAACAGCCAGAATCCAGGAGTATGTATCGTATCATCGATCAAAGAAGACATTTTTAATTTTTCAATTTCTTATTAAAATATGTCCTACCTACAAGCTACAGCTCTACTGATCTTCTGGCAAACTTCTTGACTTTTAGAAAAACGGCGGGGGCATATATTGGTAGGCTTGTTGGGATCAACTTTTAAGCCCCTAGTACCCATGGCTGGGAAAGGGGGGGGAGGTTCAGAGGCTTGTAGTTGGGGTCTGAACCCACTCGCTCACTCCTGAACATCGAGCATGTCTCATTCCCGAATGCGAGCGGGGAGGGATTACTGGTGGGCCCGGTCCTGGCATTTGCGGGCAGTACTGCCGTGCTAAGGAAAAACGCCGTATGAGCCTCCAGACGTTACCAAGTTTCCTCCGATAAAAACCGAATTTACCGGGAAAATTCTGAAAATTATTTTCTAAAATTTTCAGACAATTTTGTACGCAATTTAACCTAAAATATCTGAAAATTTCAAGGAAAAATATGCATGAATGTCGCCAAAAATACATGTTTTATCAAGGGAAATTTGGCAACTTTCGAATGTTCATAGGGCGTTCTTCCTTAGCACGGCGGAGTAGTTATTGCCGGAACTCGGTTTTCTCTTCGTTTTCTTGAACTTTTTGACGCAAAAAACGTCTAAGCCTATTGATTTGTGTTGTGTGCGAATATTTATACCTAACACATTATGGGAGCTATAATTTTGGCGACTGTCTCTGTGTGAATGTTACTGGAATGTGCGTTGTATGCGTTGAAATGTGCGACGAATTTGGTCGATCTCTCTAAAGAGGTTCACGTATACGATGTGACAGGCTGGAAGAAGTGTGGATTTTTCCGGCGATTCGAATAAATTGAGTGCTTACTTTAGGCGTGAGACCTGCCGTCTTTTAAACTCCCTTTCGAGGGTTTCGTGCCAGAGATAGGACTGTAAATCCGCTGAGCGAGCGGAACGGAATGAGCTCTGCACGATGCATGCAGCAATTTCCATAGCAGCAAGATCGCTTATAATTACCCCACAGTAGGAAGTTTTTGTTGTCCAGAGTTTTTTCTCTCGATGAATTCCGATCCTCAAAGAAAGAGGAAATCAAATTTCCAAAAATTGCCTATTAATTTGCACGCGAAATTTAGCGTTGACCTCTGAAATTCTTGTTTAAAACTCTTGCGACATTGTTTAAATTAATAGTGTGGGGTCTCTTAAATTTATTTATTCTTGCTCATGTAAATAAATCATCGTGCAGCGGGCTGATAGTTGAAATTGACTAAGGCCTTGTCTCCACGGGATGTTTCAAGGGATTTTTCTCAAGTTCGAATCGCAGGAATGAAACTTCCGGGGTTTTTTTCCTCTTAAAAAACACAAAAAAATTGTCTTCTTCTTCTTTTGAAGTTATTCCTGGTACTCCACAGGGACTCTCAGTTGGTACTGTGATTAGAATTGACTAACTCAATATTTTTCTCAACTGCGCAAGTGAGATTTTTCCCCGAAACCATGAAACGTCCCGTGGAGACAGGGCCTTACAAAGCGACAGACAAAGAAGAGTATTGAGCGATCATATTGGTTGAAATGGGTAGTGCCACACCCAGTATCACCCAGTGGGGTGGGTGGGTTGTGGTGGGTGGGACTGAGGAAGAAAATGATGGACTAACCATAGGGTCTCTCTTTGATTGCCGTTAGTTAGTCTATTACCTACCTCCTCTGTCTATTGCAACCGTTCCTTTCCACCATTAGGATCCCTCCAAATCCCTTTTGTCATTTTTGCCCATCTCTTCGTTTACCAATTTTAACAATCAGCCCATTGTAACCTCTTCCCACCGAACATCTGATTCCCTCCCTTTAAAACTGCCCAAGCGGCAACACAGCGCGGCATCGGCGCGGAAGCGCGAATGAATTTAACGCGATTGGCTCACAATGGGACTGATTGTGCGGATAGACAATGCTGTGTCGGCTAATTGCGGCTGTTGGTGGTTGTTGCAGGTACTACCCGTACGCTACGAGGGAATACAACGCGAACCAGGCGCAGGCTAGCCAGGGCCAGGGCCAGAGCGGGGCCCAGCCGCAGCAGACTCCACCGCAAGGGGCCCACCACCCGGTGCCGGTGGCGACGCCCAACAACTGGATGCCCATGCTCCACTCGGGCGTATTCTACAACGACGCCGCCCCCGGACAAGGCGTCCCTGTCACCGTCGCCATCCCGGTAGCCGTCCCCGCTGCAGTGCTAAAGGACAATGTAAGTGCAGCGACTAATTAGCCGGCCCCAGAGCTGTTGCAACATTTTCTAGCTCCAAGATAAAACCAGTTTGCGATCCTGATCATGACATTAACATGTCTCTACATTCTATATTGAATTTGAATATAGACCATTAGACAAGGTCTTAATTAGGAGTAAAAGTCACATGTTTTCTCTTCGGAATCTTGCAAAGGAAACGATTCGCAGAACGGAAAGCTCGGAAATCAACTACTGAACGAAACAAGTGCGTGGACAAAAAATTGTTGACGAAACCGCATCCTTTGTATTTTAACCATTAAACCATTGTTAATTGAAAACACTTATATTTTGTTAAGGAGTTGGTTTTCAGACTTCCCATGGAGTGATTCGTTTTCATTGTGGTATTTTGCAGAGAAAACATGTATAGCGTTCTGCTTTAATTGATACCTTGTTTATAAGACCATCGAAATCATTCACAAAAAAAGAGCAAGAAAAAATGGTTTAGCGCTCTCACGTCTGAGCAGAGGTAAGTTAAAAGACTTTATCTACATTTAGACTGGGGATCGCAGCACTATCCTTGCAGGGCAAGACATGAATCTGAGCAGGGCTGGTACTTAGTCAAAATATAGGTGACGCACTACGTCATATTCTAGGCGAAAGAACTTAATTATATTTGATTGTCGCATAATTTCTATTTGCAAATTTCATCTGGGGGCCGTCCCTAAATTACGTAACGATCCAAGGGAAAAGGGAAGCGGGGGTCTTCGCTAGCGTTGCGCGGCGTTACAAGGGGTCGGGGTGGGGGTATAGAGCAAAGCGTTACGTAACGAGTTTAAGTGATTTTTTTTCGAATTCCTGTAGAATTTTTCGTTTGATATATTTAGAGGTTTTAAGGAATCTTGAAACTATCCTCTGCAATACTTTCACCTCACTTCACTACATAGAAACGCCAATCCGCACAGTAAATGTAAGGGGATATTTAGATTATTTGTTATTGAAACGGGGGTGGGGCAGGCAAACGAAACGTAATACGTAATTAACGTAACGATACGTCTAGCAAATCGTTACGGAGCGTTACAGAGGGTGAGGGATGTCAAAAAAATTGAAAATTTAGCGTTACGTAATTTAGGGACGGCCTCTTACACCATATTATAGTGTCTAGACTATTAGTCTGCCACCATGTGGATCCTGTTGGCAGGGATTTCTGGAGACCTTAACGAGAGGATGGAACAAACACCTAACTGCAGAATGTTTCGCGGGAGACTTAGATTTTTCTGTGTTAGGGTGCTCTAAATGTAGTTGAAAAAAAGGATGTCACGGAAAAATAAAAAGGTTACGGAGACTTTAACGAAAGGATAGAATAAACGCCGCGGTGTTCGGAGGAACTTCTCATTGGAAATGCTGCAAAGCTCATGAGGTGTCTCAAGTTTAGAGAGAGGGTAGGAGGAGAACCCACGCGCTCTTCATGAAGGAATAAAGGGGTTCCAAGGAGACTTTAACGATTGGGTAGAAAGGACACCAAGCTAAAGAATTTTTCGTAAGAAATGTGTCGGAAATTTACTTAGAAAAAAGTTCTAGGAGACTGTCGAATATTCCTGTCTGAGAATTTCACTGATCATAGCGAAATCTTGATGGGAAAGAATATCTTGTGATGCTTTAATTTTCACCCTATTTAATGGTTTATTCTGGGCTAGGGGCCTCGACTGCTTTACACGAGTGTCTATTTTCGTTCCATAGTTCCAATTGAGTCCATATGCCCGATATTTAGCTCATCACATCCGTGTTATATCACTGTATAACACTTTCCTTTAATCAAATAAGGCCAGCCTCTCCTTACAGCTGCGACCGGGCAAGCTTCACGGCAACACTTTCAGCAGACTAGCAGCTTCTACTTTGTTCGATTTGTCCTCGCATAAATTACCGGAGTTGTAAAGTGGGAAGTCTTCATTTCTGTGTCACTGCACTGGTTTCCAGTTGGATGCAAATATTAAAAAAAGCGAAATGCATGTACATGTGTATCAGGATGATTCTACACCACGCATTTATTAATGGTCATCTGGTATAGACTAGTGGAGCGATGGAGAGGGGAGGCTGTGTATGAGACATTAATTGGAAATCTTATCGGGAGCTAATGAGATGTTATCGTCTAGCCTGGAAATACGTGTTTCAGAGGAAAGTGTGCTCCTGTCGCCACTTGAGACAAGCATCTGCGGGGCTCGGTTGCGAAGGAGTTGACTCGACGTCCACCATAGAGGACCAGGCTGCTCTCCTAAGTTAAAACGTCTCATGAGCATTCGAATGATGCCAAACTCCTACTGATAAATACTTATTTTTGAGGAAATATATGCTAACCGTTCCTCGAAATGAATCAGTGCGAACGAAAACACATCAACTCGGTAACTCAAAAATGCTCAATTTCTATTGAAGACAGTTGATTTACATAAAGGTCGTTGAAGTTAGCACATCTATTCCAACTTGAACCTTTAAAGTGTCTATAAGTACTTGTCTTTCGGCAGCAAGAATCTTTTTCTTAACCTACTTCTTCAACCTAGTACTTCTTCACCTACTGTGCAGTTTTGTATGTGTCTTGATTATTTTCATTTCTGAGTTGGTGTGTTTTCGTTCTCACTGATTCAAATGAGGAATACTGTTAAGGATCAAAAGAGCGACGCCAAGAATGGCACAATTTGGGCCAGAAGGGATTTGTCTGAAACCGGGCCCAAACGATACCTTATGATACCCTAAAACTCTGGTAAAAATTTTAGCTTGAGTATACGCACCGTTTTTGAGAAATGGGGGGGCAAAGTTGCCAAATCGCCATCATTCTGGACAGCATTTTTACAGCAAAAAGACGGGAAAAATGGACGAAAAAGTTACACCATTGATGGGTTTGGGCTGTAAATGTTCTTATTGAGCCCCCGTGCATGTGATTGTCTTCAGTTTCAAAAATTTTGGACGTACAGTGGTCTGAAATGGGAAGAAATCGTGGACGGATAAGGATTCTTTGTCAAACTTTTTAAAAATGGAAGTAAAATTGTTGGTCTCCTGCAGAGATCATGGGGAACAATGTTCTTATCGGTCTTCAATGCATTCAATTGGGTTCAGTTTATCAAATTTTCATCGCACAATGGTCCAAAATGGGAAATTAGTGGACAAATTAAGATGTTCTGCCTAACTTTTTAAAAATGATGTACGACTATTGGTTTCCAGTAGACTTTAGATCCCAGAAAAATTCTTTAAATTCTTTTATTGACTATTTAAATCTTTTTTACGTTTTTTCTCTCCACTTTTCTTTCTTTTTTTTTAAATTTCTGAAAGTTTGCATATTTTATTGAAATAATGCTACAAAGTCTATTCTATAACAACGTTCTATAAACAATACGGTCTGACATATATAAATAATTAAAAAAAAATAAAAACATGCATTTTTCCGGGATTTAAACTCTACTGGGGACCGACAGTTTGACAGAGGATCTTAATTTGTCCACTAATTTCCCCATTTTTGACCACTAGGCGATGTACATTTGTGAAGCTGAACACATTTTCATAAATTGAGGACCAATAAGAACATTGTTAGCCATGAAAACTGCAGCAGACCGAAAATTTTACTTCCATTTCTAAAAATTTGACAAAGAATCCTGATTTGTCGACGATTTCTCCCCATTTTGGACCACTGTGCGACCAAAATTTTTGAAACTGAACACAGTTAAATGCTTGGGGGCCCAATGAGAACATTTACAGCCGAAACCCATCAAATATTTGACTTTTTCGTCCATTTTCCCCGTCTTTTTGCTGTAGAAATGCTGTCCAGAATGATGGCGATTTGGCAACTTTGCCCCCTCATTTCTCAAAAACCGAGCGTATACTCAAGCTAAAATTTTAACCAGAGTTTTAGGGTATCATAAGGTATCGTTTGGGCCCGGTTTCAGAAAAATCCCTTCTGGCCCAAATTGTGCCAAAAAACGGTCGTTTTTGGCGTCGCTCTTTGTCCCACCCTGGATTTATTCAACTACGAATTTTTTTGGCACTGGAAGATCTAAATTTAACAGTACAAATTGGATTTAGTTGGTTACTGAATCTCATGAAAGAGATATATTGCTGGAAACATGAGTCTGAAACCAAAAACGACCATTTGTAAAAATGATTCGAGTTTGATGTCGTTTCCCGACCAGAAAACAAGGAAATTTTAGGAGAAGTTTTGAGTTGATTTAACTCATCCACATTGGGAAAAAATTCAGCGATTTCAGCCTGTCACTTGCTGATGCTCCGCTTAAAAGAGCGGTGAAAAATCGTAATTTTTGGCCATCAGATCCATATTTGCGACTATATGCATCCCTCCAAAAATATTTGACTATCAGCTAAAATTCATTGGATTTAAACCTTGCACAGTTTAAAAATTCTAAAACCACACTCTAGGCTAATTTCGGTCCTTTATTGTATTCATTTTTTCAGATACGTTGGATTAAATTACGAATGAAACTTTCCGAAAAGTCTATGGGAAATTTTCATAATTCATCCAAAAAATCCGCATTTTTACGGAGAAAATTTGGCAACATTTCTATATTCATACGTCGTTTTCCCATAGGATAGCAGTATGCCGGAAGAGAGCGTCCGAGCGAATGTTGTCGGCGCTCCGCGTTTGGAATTCTGGGCACATGGTCCGACTCAGCCCCGACCCTGGACAGGTCGTCGCTCCTCCGACGTAAAGCCGTATCTCAATTTTCTCGTGAACCCTGTTCCGCGCATTAATCCATGCTCTCTGGGGCTCATGCGGAAATTGAGATACGTCTTTATGTCGGAGGAGCGACGAGGTTGCCTGTCAAAAGCGTGGCTTAAACAGGCTCCGATCCGAGATTGCACGGAACTTTCATCATTTCTTATAGGCAGACGCTTGGAGGGGGAACGGAACCTGCCTTCTGGGAGGCTTACAACCGACTTTGCGTGGGCAGATATTTTTGAAGGATCTCGATGGTAGTGGGGGGGGGGAGGGGGTTCAGCGTTTATGGTGGAGGGATTCGAGA